TCCTTGCCAATGCTCTGGGGTATCCTTTGCCACTTACTCCATAGGCATTTCTGCCTGTCTTGTTTCCTGTGTGGTCTGCTGACCATGGATGCCAAAAACAAAGGTTGTCAGGCAGTGCACTTGCTAAGGCATTACTCCATAAGGAAAAGAGAGCCAGGAGGCAAGAGTAAACAATAAGGCAAGCAGGGACAGTGTCCTCATCAATAAGCCAGTTAGCTCAGTCAGTTGAGCATGACGCTAACAACGCCAAGGTCGCGGGTTCGATTCCTGTTCGTTCCCCATGTGTTGTCGGATCGAGTCGAGAGGTGACGGACCGGGTGACAGGGAGTCTGGATTAAAAGGATCTCTAAGGTCCCTTCCAGCCTAGGCCATTCTATGATTCAGTGATAAGGCCCCAATCCGGCAGTACCCAAGCAAGGCAAGCAGAGCAGGTCCAGTAATGGCAACCAGCTTCGGCCAGGAGTCACCAGATGAGTCCGTAACAATGAGGCAGGTCTGAGGTTAAGTCAAAGTCAGGAGAGTCAGGGATTGGACTTGGTGACCATGGCCAACAGAGGTCTGTCTAGGGATCACCAGGCAAATCTATACTGAAGAGACAGGTTCAAGGTTGAACATGGAAGTTAGGAGCTCAGTGGGATATATGGCCACACACAGGCATACAGCTGTAATGTTGCTCAGGTGAGGATCAAGGGCAAAGGCCTCAGCCTAAGAACCACTCCTGAGCAAATGGTAGCACAAAGGCTCCTGATACAGCTTCTTTTCAGGTCTTCTTCCTTCACAGCAGTCTGAACAAAGATTAGACAGCTGTATCAGATAGCTAGTCTTGAGCTCAAGAACTGTTAGAAGAGTGGGAAGGGAGCTCTGGGTCATGACAGTGCCATCCCACTGTCACAGGTAGGCTTGTTCAGAGCACACATCTGCTTAGACTTTAGCGATTTGAACTGTTCCTGTTGCTATTTTTCCAGTTTTGGGAGCAGTCATCTCTATCCTCTTATAACCACGCTCACCAAATCAGGCTCTGGCTGAGCCACTGCCATGTACTCTCTTAGTGAAATACTCAGTAGGTGGCTATTTCCTTTGTGTTTGTGCCCAAATTGCTGTAACTGAGCTAAACAAATGATCTGTCAGACTACAGCTGTTTAACCAAACCCAGGCTCGAAGCCAGAACAAACTCCAGTAGAGCAGCGAGGTACAGCAAACAGGAGTGCCAAGTTACCCAAGCTGTGCCAGGACAGTTGTGGTGTACCCATCAAGAGGTGTGGGACCTGCTCTGATTTAAAGGAGCAACACCCATGCAGAGATCTGTCACTGCATACGTGCTTGGTGCTGGAGTTTGCTGGGCTGTCTCCAACCTTGCTTTGCAACAGAAATGTGCTGTGCTCGGGAAGAGTGCAGGGCCAGGCTGTAGCAGTCCTGCTTTGGACTTCAGAGGAGGCTGAAGATTTGGGAATAAGGGTAAAATTCACACCTTAGGTGAAAGCTACATCCTATTACCACAAGGATTCTTCAGGAAGGGGATCAAGGTTTCCCCTTTATTTGAAGGTCTTGAATTGCCCTGAATGTGCCCAAAACTGGAAGTTTGGGAAGCACGAGAAATACAGAAGCAGTTCTGATGGCACACTAGCTGCCCAGCTCTTCCTCTCATACAGCAGGCATTTGGGATTAACTGTGATTTGGAGGGCTGAGCCAGCACAGAGAGAGAGATTCTTCCTCTTTGGTAAGTCCTCTGTAAGGAGAACTCATTTTAAAAAATGTATTTAGATGCTTCATTACATGCAATTACATGTCAGCTATGGTTCAAAAATTTAGTCAGTTCACAGCATCAGCTACAATTTTTGGCTCTTTCTTGCTCATAATGCTGTTCTTGTTCTGTCTGAATAATCTGAAGTTCTGGAGTACATAATAGCTTTTATGAAAACCTGAAAATTACTTCCGTAGGTGGGCACTCAATTGTCAAAGATATTTATTTCACATGTAGGGATAGTAATTACAGTAACCTCAGGAACTACTTAAGACAATGAAAGTTTCACATAAAAAGCTAATAAAATCAAAGATTAGAAACCCAGGAAAGAGGGCTTAGCTTTTCAGTACAGTTTCTTAATAATTGAAAGCTCTTGTCTGAGTGAGTGGAAGAAACAAAAGGCCCATGAATTAGTTACCTGTTATCAAAATTTAAAACAATACAATAGCACTAATGTAGTTGCAGGAGTGTCATATAAAAGATATATGGCTGTGGGAGGCATGTACTGGAGCTAAGTGCTTGCCTGTTTCAGAGTCCTGTTAAGGACTTGTGCTGAGACAGTTTGCAAAATTATAAAGGATAGGTAATGGATTGAAACAACGATACAACGTATTTGGGATTGCCGCTGATAAATTCACTCACTGCAATAGCATTAATATATAATAATGCTGGCAAAATACTGGTATGGGTATTTCTCAACAAAAGATGAAAGCACAATTTTTATGAAGCAGGTATCCCTGTGGAGAAGAACGAGCACAGCCCATAGACTGCCTCTTCTGGGTCTTCTCACCTTATATATTCCTCACCCTGGGGTGACATTTAGCATGATTTGGGTGGAGAGTTGGGGACTGTATTCATGTATGTTTAGCATGTACTTCTCTAAGCTCATTAGCATAGTCGGGGGTGTCAAATTTAATATACATATTAGGGATTATAACATAGAATCATAGAATGGCCTAGGCTGGAAGGGACCTTAGAGATCATTTTAATCCAACCTCCCTGTCATGGGCAGGGACGCCTCTGAACTAGATCAGGCAACACATGGGAACTGAGCGGGGATCGAACCCACGGCCTTGGTGTTATCAGCACCACGCTCTAACCGACTGAGCTAACCAGCAAAAGGTTTCACTCTGGGCACTATCACATTCAGGATTTTGTTCTGAAGCAGTTTGTCATAGAATCATAGAATACCAAGTTGGAAGGGACTTTGTGTAGCCCAACCCTTTAAGGCAAATGAATACAGTTTAAATGAAGTGGCCCAGCACCTTCTCAAGCTGAGCCTTAAAACTGTCTAAAGTTGAGGAATCCACCTGAGACTTAAAACTGTCTAAAGTTGAGGAATCTATCACTTCCCTTGGAAGACTGTTCCAATGTCTAATTGCTCTCATGGTGAAATATTTTCCCCTGGAGACCAATCGGAATCTACCCACGACCTACTTGTATCCTTTACTCCTTGTCTTTTCCATGTGACTCCTCGTAAAAAGGGCATCTCCATCATCTTGGTAGCCGCCCTTTATGTACTGGTACATGCTAACAAGGTCTCCTCTGAGCCTTCTCCTCTCAAGGCTGAAAAAACCCAGTTCTCTCAGCCTTTCTTCATAGGACAGGTCTTCTAGTCCTCTTATCATCCTTGTGACCCTTCTCTGGACCCATTCCAGCCTGCCCCCATCTTTTTGTATAACGGGGACCAAGACTAAACACAGTACTCAAGGTGTGGTCTCACCAGCGCTGAGCAGAATGGCCTGATGACTTCTTTGTCTCTGCTGGTGATGCCCTTGTTAGTGCAGCCCAGCATCCTGTTTGCTTTCTTTGCTGCTGCAGTGCACTGTTCACTCATGTTGAGCTTGCTGTCGACCAAGACCCCCAGGTCCCTCTATACAGGGCTGCTCTCTAGCCATGTGGATCCCGGTCTGAGCTGCATTCGTGGGTTCTGTATTCACAGGTGTGTAAGACCTTACACTTATCCCTATTGAACTTCATCAGGTTCCTGCTAGCCCACTCCTCAGCCTGTCCAGGTCTTCCTGGAGGGTGACTCTCCCTTGTGGAGTGTCAACTTCTGCACACATTTTGGTGTCATCCACAAACTTTGTCAGGGTGCTCTTGATTCCAACATTGAGATCATTTATGAAGATAATAAACAGCATTGGGCCTAATATTGATGCCTGGGACACCCGTCTTGTGACTGGTTGCAAGTTTGAGAAGGAACTATTTACTACCACCCTCTGAGTACGGCCGTTCAGCCAATTCCCTACCCACCACACAGACCACTTGTCTAGGTTGTAATGTGTCAGTTTCTCAAGGAGGAGGCTGTGGGGGGGTTGTACCAAAGTACCAAAAGCCTTGGAGAAGTCCAGGTATATAATGTCCACCGCTTGCCCTGCACCAGCTCAGGAGGTTACTTTGTCGTAGAAGGCAATCAGATTTGTCAAGCGTGATCTGTCCCTGGTGAACTCATTTTGGCTTTTCCCAACCACATTTTTCAGTTTACTTGTGGTAGTCCCCAGGAGGGTTTTCTATGTAATTTTCCCAGGGAATGAAGTGAGGCTACTGGGTCTATAATTACCTGGATCCTCTTTGGAACCCTTCTTGTAGATACGGGTGACACTGTCCTTCTTCCAGTCTTCGGGCACGTCTCCTGATCTCCATGACTTCTTGAAGATTATGGAGAGCTGCCTCACAACAACATCGACCAGCTCCTTTAACACCCTTGGGTGGATGGCATCTGGGCCCATCAATTTGTACGAGTCAAGCTGCTGTACAAGCTGACACACCAGATCTTCCTTTACTGACAGCTGGTCCATGTCGGCATCAATCTGAATTTTTGTTCCCATGGCCTGGGACCCAACAGTGCTCATGAAGACATTGTATCTGTCCTCAGGATTGTGATGAAGTTGGTAGTCTGTGTCTGTCCTTGTTCCTTAGCCAAAGCAAGGCTGTCCTGGCACCACAAGCCTCCCTCCTTTGGCTGGTTCTCACTATGCAGGCCTTGTTGATCTCCATCCTCCGTGTCTGCACAGCAATTAAGTGGACATCTGCATCCTTAAGTCCTTGGGTTAAAATGTCACAGAGCAGGTTTTTTTTTGTCCTATTTAATATTAAACTGCTGGCTTTTGAAACATAGATAATTACGTGGCAAGACCAGAGTGCTGAAGGCAGCTTTCCTTTCAAATCCTTTTAAATTTGCTGATGCAATTTAAACCACATACTTTGCAGTAGGTGGAAACCTCCAGTGGAAACCTCCTTTCTGGAAACCTCCAGAATGTCTGATATTCCACTGTTGTTCTTTATCCATAAGTAACAAAATTCATCAGCTATTTATGTGAGTGAATATGCTAATGTGTTTTCTCTTTTTATGAACCGTTTAAACTTCTAGATCTGTTCAGCATGTAATATCTAGAAAATACTGACATCTTCCAGCTGGTGAGAAGAGGAATTCAGATGGGGCATACTGGCATTGCTCTCAGGCTCTAAATTCAGAGTATCTTGTTACAATGGCATCTAAATACCAATTTGTAAAAAAATGCTTTTGTTCGCATTGTATCATTTTCTTTCACAATTTACAAAAAAACAGGATTCTGGTGGAGGCTGATCATTACTGGTTGTAGGTTGCTTTTTTATTTCTTCTGCATATTTCATTTACATCTGACAGCAAGTCCATTACTGCGTTGAACAGCTGAGCTATGTTGCACATGATTTTTTCTTTTATTGCGGGCAAAAGGAAGAAACTGCTCCTAATAGTTTTCATTTTAACAGGATGGAAAAACAGCAGAAGATCTCGCCAGAGCAGAGCAGCATGAACATGTAGCCAGTCTGCTTGCAAGACTTAAAAAGGTTGGGAATGCATGAACTTTAGCTCATACTTTCTTATTTTTAAGATACCAAGAGAAGTTTGACCATGGGAAATCATACAGTAAGATACTTATCAAAGACCATTGTAAAAAGCTGTTGCAAAAATTCCTACTGGGATTTTATCTTTCCCCCCATATTTTTACTTTGAAATTATGTCCTCAGTTAAAGCTAGTATGTACATACCAACAAAAATGGCTAAGCTAGTCAGCATCACTGATCTATCTTATCCTGTCTCTGGCAATGCCTAGAAAAGCATCTAAGATGCTTAGAAGAAACTGGAAAATAAACTATTAAGAATTAGCACATCCCACAGGAGGACTTAATCCCCACCATCACCATCTTATTTAGATTAGGTTTATGAAGTATGAGACGTTTGTGCCCCTTCTAGAAACTCTTAATACTGTATGTAATAGCTGAATAAGATCCCAGCATCTTCTTTTAATTCTGCAATTTCAGTATTTCCATATCTGCTGACAACTGGGGTTGTTGTAAGGCAGTAAGTCTGACACATCTGATACACATTGATTATTCTGAATAGGCAGCTTTGCTTTGACACTGTGAAGATTCAGGGACCTCTTTCAGGGACCTGGAGATTAGATGAAAGAGTCAGACCATTTAAAACAATCCTGAGTTACTTATGCTGATGGGTCTTTGGAAAACTTAAATAAATGACCCTTTCAGAGTAGCAACAGAGGATGGTGTCTACAAGGCATTGCCAAGCTGGAGGTAGAATCATGTCCTTTAGTCCTGCCAGTAAATCTTTGCCAGGATTGTAAAATAGATCAGTGAGGATGTCAGAAAGTGCCAAAGTTCAGGCTTCCTTTGCAGTGATAGCTATTATAAATGTTTGTCATAACAGAATCTGTTTTGTGTACTTGTATCCTCACACCAAACCCTTTCCCATTTCTGCATCAGGGGACAAGTTTGTGTTGTAGTTTTGATGTAAATATGGAACTGACACAAAGCAAATGGGAGAAGGTCAAATAAATCGCTCCTGAAGGCGATACTAGTAACTGTAACTCTCTTCCTGACAGCAGAGTATATTTGATTACTGAAGGCCTGTCTATATATGGAGAAAATGTATGATAATTATATCCTTCGTCAGAGTATACTTTACAACACAAAACCTGATAATTGAAATTAATAAATTACATCAAACCACTGAAAATATTGTAATACAACTTAAAATGGTCGATATTATCTGGTACAGAGTGGACCTGATACTTGCTTTATTTTCAGTGCCTATGGAGGTTTTCGCCCCAAATAGCACACACATGAAGAGCCTGCTGCCTACGTGGCTCTTACAGACGATTCCATACTAGCCATGAGGGGGTGCCATATGACCATTGTGACTAACTTACTAAATAAATGCCTGTTAGTGAGGAAAGAACTAAATTGCATGCACTGCTATTTCTGTCAAATTTCTCAGCTTAATTCCTGCATGCTTATAATTTTGGGGGTCTGTAGGTGCTCATTTAATGACTCATCGTACATGTTAAACTTAGTACAAATGCAAAACAACAGAGCCTCTTGGCTCCAAATGGGGGAATGAAAGGAAGATAAGCTAGTTGCTTTTCCTTTCTACCTTTCTGCTTTCTCCCTGATTCCTTAAAAGAGGTCTTTGTGTTTCAGACACTTGATAGTTTGCTGTCCTGCAGTGCATCCCCTTGTTGAGTTGATTTTTGAAGCTCAGCTTGGGTGGGAGGTAGAGCATCCACGTCTGATTGCCTCTTGCTGGGCAAAGAGAAAAGACAGACTTGATTTGTTTGTTTCTGACTCTGTTTTTGGCAGGAACAGAAGGAGTATCCTTCAGATACTACAAAACAAGACACAGAGGGGTAATGGGGAAGCTCAAAGTGGAAAGCTTTTCTGTAGGAGGTGTGATGAGGTTTGAGGAAGGCCTGTGTAGGAGGATGAGATTGCAGCTGTGGAAGAGACAGTGAATGCCTACAGAGGGCAACTGAGATGAGAACTAGGTAGGAAGGCAGATCTGTTGAGGCGTGGGAGTAAAGAGGGAAACCAATCTGGAGGATGTACACTTAAGAGTGGAGGGGTAGAAAAATGGAAGATGAATAGTATGCGAGAGGTCTTTTAAGGTAAAGAGTAAGTGTATGAGGAAAAGAGAGATAAGAATGGTCTAGGAAAAGCGGTATTTACCTTGCAAAAAACAGAAATATACAGAGAGCTGACTAGGGGGAGGATGGAGAGGGAAGAGGAGAATTCTCCCAAATATGAGAAGTACAGAGTAAGTTCATGTAAAGAAGGGAAATGCATATATTTTCAGATTGCTGAGGTTGTAGCTGTCACTGAAAAATTCTTCAATGCTGCATGTGTATTTTACAAGATTATGGATACTGGTTGTGCTACTGAGGCTGACAGGTAAAGAAAATGGGTACTGAAAGAGGCTAGCTTTTTCTCCTTCGTCCTCTCCATGAGAGGTCAAAGTGATACCTTACATTGATGTTGAGCTTGAGGTCCCCATAAAGGGAATATAGATCTGTTGGAACAAGTCCAGAGGAGGGCCACAAAGATGATCCAGCTGCTGGAGTACCTCTGCTACGAGGGAGCTGGGATTGTTCAGCCTGGAGTAGAGAAGAGTCCAGGGGGACCTTGTAACTGCCTCGCAATACCTGAAGGGAACCTGCAGGAAGGCTGGAGAGGGACTTTTTACAAAAGTGTCCAGCGATTGGACAAGGAGGAATGGATTTAAATTGAAGGAGAATAGATTTAGACTAGATCTTAGGAAGAAATTCTTCAGTACAATGGTGGTGAGACTCTGGAATAGATTGTCCAGAGAAGCTGTGGCTGCCCCCTCCCTGGACATGTTCAAGGCCAGGTTGGATGAGGCCTTGGGCAACCTGCTCTAGTTAAGGGTATCCCTGCCCATGGCAGGGAGGTTGGATTAGATAATCTCTAAAGTCCCTTCCAACATAAGACATTCTGTGATTTATGAAGCCTCAAGGTGGCTGTTGAGAGCAAGCATTCAGCTGTGCCTTGTCTACCTGTATCTGCCCTTCTGCCAGCAACTGGTCACTTACATGATGAAACACATAGAGGAACTGATCCAGATGAACAGCAGCCTGTCAAGAAAACATTACCTAAACCCTGTGTTTTGATTTTGTGGGAGGCAAAAGGTCCCTAGCACAAGTCCTGACTTGTTCTTTATGTTGAATTTTAGGATGCACACCGGGGGATTTTTATCCAGCAGCTACGGCACACTCAGAATCCACAACCCCGGATCAAACTGAAGTTATTTGGACACTCTGGTGCTGGGAAAACAACCCTCGTGGAGTCTCTCAAGTGTGGCCTGATACGAAGCTTTTTCCGAAGGCGTAGGCCTAGGCTCTCCTCCACAAGCTCAACCAGATTCCCTCCATCTCCTTTGTCTTCCAAACCTTCAGGTATCACTCTTAGTCTGTGTAGCTCCTAAGTAAGGGCTGTTGGCTGCACTGCAAAAAACAGGACAGACTAAGCATATAAGAAGCTGAAGCAACGTGGAGATGATATTGACTTCTCTGTGCACAGGCTCGTACCTAAAGTAAGAGCAAAGAGGAGCAGCACGTCTGGAGGATGCAAGAGTAGTTAAGGTTTTGCTTACTCACATGCTGTGAAAGTGAGCTTGGAGAGTGGATGACAGGACTTGCGAACACTGGTGTTAAATTTTTGCAAAAAGTCCTAGGCTACAAATGCCAGTCTCATGATGATCATGGTTTTAGGGATTATGCTTTGTCAGCCATTTTGTTTGAGTATCTTTGATAAAGCCTGGGCAAAATTGAAGCAGTTACTGCACCTTTATGTGATCTTAAGTAATCACAGAGGATTCAGAACTGCCTCTGATGCCTTGAAATCCTTGTCTGTAAGGTGCGTTAGCCCAGTTAGAGGTGTCTAAAATTGCCTCCAAACAATGTGAAAATGAAGATTCTCTGAACTGCAGTATATGTGTGCCAATAGTAGGGAAACTGCCCTTGTAGCATCGGTTGCCCTCTGTGAAGTGGGAAGAGCTGCAAGATTTGGAGGAGCTAGCTACGTTTATGCTTAAGCATGTGCCCAGCTTTGAAAGAACCCACAGTTCTGGTAGAAGGACACTGGCAAGAGTAGCGAATTATTTGTCTGGGACCCTTTTGTAGCACGGAGAGGCTACACAATGCATACAAGCTTAAGTAGACACTTTGAGGAGCTCAAGTTCAGATCAATGTTTAAAAGTGGTCTCACTACCTGCATTTTATTGTGTCAGGATTGCCTTTCTCTTTATAAACCTTTGGGTAATACTTTCAAGTTTAGGTTTCATTCATCATTTTTAAGCAATGTTAAAACAGTACTGGTAGTAGATTGCATCTCTACTTTCTCTCTGGTCACCTGGGGAAGCTTAAGGTACTCACAAAGTGGATTAACAAGACAAGATACCTGGCACAGAGATTGCTATTGCGTTTGCTGTTTGCTTAGTACAAAGGACTCACTTCAGTGGCAACAGAATAAAGAAAATGAATGAATGAATCAAGCAGAAGTTCTTTTTTTTATTTATCTTAATTTTTTGTCATACAAGGAGGGATAAGTAACTCAAAGAATATCAGTTCCTGGAGGCAGTGCAGGAAGGCTTTGACTGAAGACAGATTTTTTTATGTTGGTTGGCACCGGAACCAGAAGATCAATAAAGTCAGAGTGGCAAATCATTATAGAAATAATGGTGAATTTGAAGTATACACTTGAAAATAGCTTACTTAGGTACAAAGCCATAAAGTTGCACGGTGCTATGCACACTTGAAACTTGTGCAGTTCTATACAAACAAAACTACTATGGCGTTGTTCGGAGTTTTGGATTTTGCTTATTTCATTATCTGTTCATTTTGGATGCAAATCGTTTTATAACATGTAAATAGTGATAGTGGTTAAATGACATAATCAGGAAAACACGTAAACCAGCACAATTTAGTCTGTACTTGATCATGTGCTTAAGTTTGTTTACATTCTATAAAAATAAGTGTGTGAATTCAGCATGTAATTATTTACAAGAGCCTAAAGATTTAAGTATTACACTAGAAGATCAAACATGAAAGAACAGTTTTAACAGCTGACAGGTAGTTTTATCTATATTAAAACCCAAATACTAGAATACAGCATCTAGTGGAGAAAGGAAGTCTTTACTTTCTCCACTAGATGGTGCAAGTCAATTAAAAAGCCCTTCGTGTCTCATTTGCTCTTAGGGAATCTCTTTTAAGCATGAACTAAACTGCTTGTTAGAAACATAATTTTGGTTAAGGGTCTGCTTTTCACCTCCATAGAGACAATTGTTACACATTGATATTTTTATCTTTACATATAGTAATGAACTATATGAATATGTAGTATTTCCATGCCAATAAGAAGTGGACTATGCTATAAAATTGCAGCCCTTGGCTATAAAAGCAGTTTATCCTTGCAACATAGAACCTTAACTATAAAAAACTGTCATTCTCAAATAATTCCCTTTTTTTCTATGCTTCCCACCCAGCAGTATATCTGCTAGAGGATGGTAAGTGCTGTATGGGATCATTCTAGTATTTTCCTTTTCATCATTCAGAATAAGAATGTAGTTGTGTATGTTCACAGCTTGGCAGTCATCTCCTTTCTTTGAAGAGCAGTTTGGTTTTTATAATCAGCTTTTATGCCTTGCATACTTACTGAAGTGATCTGATTGTGATTTTCACATGGTTTGTAATCTTATTTTCCTTTCCCTGACCCAGTTTCAGTAAGCATTACGAATCTTTATCCTGGTTGTGAGAATGTCAGCGTGAGAAGCCGTAGTATGATGTTTGAGCCAGGCCTGACCAAAGGGGTATTAGAAGCTTTCGTTTCACCTGCTCATCACTCTCACTTCTCTGCTGATGACCAGTCCACCAAGGCCATTGACATTCAGAACGCCTGCTTGCATGGTAAGCAGAGCCCTGGGCTGGCCTGCCTTAGTGCAGTGGGATGATTAATGTCATGTTGGTAGTTTTTAAAAATAAAAATGGAATTTAAAAAATTTTGGTGTGGTAGTGACTGTGGTTGAGAATCCAGCACTGGTGGGATTTGGATTGTTTAAACGGAAAGTAAATTTGCATGAAGTTCTATACTTTTAATACACAAAATAATCACCTGTTTCAGGTCCTTATAGAATCAGGTAGAAATGATTTTGAGGTGACTAAGTGGGTAAGGAGGAAGGAAGGATGTGTTGTAATAGGGAAGAGGGTTGGTAAACTGGATACTAGAGTGAAGGTTCCTTCACCTGTACTGTATGTCCTCTGGGGACAGATTTAATCAAGTCCCATAGACCCAAGTGTCCTCACCATGTAAGTGATTCCTAGCTGTATAAAGGACCTACCATTCTCACCCTGTGACAGGGCTGGAGCATGTTTGCTGAGTCCTGAAGAACACCAAACATGATGAGTGGAATTTCTGATTCTACTTCTTTTAAAAAAAATAAAGCTAATTGCTCTGTGGTTGAAACCATTTAGCAGTAAGAAGTGTCAGTCAGAGAAGTTATCATAAGTGCATACATGACTTTTGACTGTGAAGACATCACAAATTGTGCATTAATCACGATTTTATTTTTGAGCGAAAACCCTACTTAGGAATGCAGTATATGCATACTAGCAAAATGTTTGTCCTAGATGCTGAAGAGTTTGCTATGTATCTTAAGATTGTTCTTTGTCCAGGCTAATTTCCTCTTTCAGTGTAATCTGAAACCAAGTCAAGTTCTGCAGTGAGAGTTGTGCAACAGGCTGTCAGACATGGTTTCTTTACTTTATCTGTGCTGTGTTGATATAGGATGAAAGCGTACACACAGCTGTTCTCATAACAGCAGATTTGAGGTTTCTGCTTATTTTATTCTAGAAATTTGAGGTGCATCTTAATCAGCATTTATTTAAACAGAGGTAGTACAAGTGCAGCAGACTGCACCCTTTTCAGACAGTGCCATAATACACTGAGCACAACTCACTGATGCTTCTCTCACCCGACCCTAATGGAGATGGAAAAAAACACTCACTGGGCTGTTGAGATCCTTAACATGGTGGTTCTTCAGTCCTGACTTAACAAAGTGATGTGAATAGTGCAAGTCTATAAAGCAGAGTAGCTTCTTTGAGAATGGCTTTCAGCTGTTTGGAATTAGCAGTGGCATGTTAAGAAGAAAAATTGGTAAAAACATTAAGCTTTTTAGGGTGAATAGAAAAAGAATTGGAGCTGTTCTTCTTCAAGGAAGTACAAGATCTGTTCTGCAAGGCAAAGGCTAATTTAATGTGTAAAGCTGCACATGTTTAACATACAGGTACTTCTGTGTGCTCAAGAGAAGAGAATGTGAGAGAGAAACAGGTTGTGGGGACCCAACTTCTCAGCCTCAGAGACTCACTGAAACTGGTTCCCTTTGTTCATGATTATGTTTGCAGTCTTGCTTCCTGCATGCATACGGTTTATCTTTGTGCATGTTTAAATCAGATCAACGCTTTTGTTTGTCTTTCCGCAGCTGAAGGATGTCATGCCCACTGACAAAGTGTGATCTCTTCATCTATTTGTCTGTTTTTCAGGAGTTGGTGATTTTAGCGTCTGGGAATTCTCTGGGAATCCTGTGTATTTCTGCTGTTACGATTATTTTGCTGCAAATGATACCACTACAATTCACATTGTGCTTTTTAGTCTTGAGGAGCCTTATGAAATCCAGTTAAACCAAGTGACCTTTTGGCTGAGTTTCCTGAAGTCATTAGTCCCAGTTGAGGAACCGATAGGTATGCTTTTCTGCCTATTAATTAAATATTATGTAATATTAGTTAAATATTATATAGGATAAAGCTTCTTCTGTTTCTTTGCAACTTCATACATTCTCTGTGTTGAGTGCTGTTATGTGGCTTCATCCCCATGTATTCAAACGAATTTTACACAAGATTTCTTAGAGAAAGGGAATTTTATCTGTGGAACAAGCCTGAAGAGTTGTACACGCCATGTGGATCAACTGAAAAGGGTCATGAGGTACAGTGCAGCTTCTTGTGGCATGGAGACTTACATCTGTAAATGGCAGATGAAGTTTTATGTCAGATAAACTGTGTGGAAAACCATTTTGGAGGGTGGGAACCATTTAAAACCGGGTTTAGATGCATTGCTTGTAATGAATGAGATTGTGGGGTGGCATTGCCTCTCAGTACATGCAACTTCAACATGTTTATCTAGAGTTATAGTTGGATTTCAAATATGTTAACTTTTTTGGTGCATCAGGTTGTACAGAAACCAGTATTTCTAGTAAATTTCACTTCACGCCTTCTCTAAATTTGGACAGGTTTTAAGTAAGTTTTCCTGGTTTATATTCAAGCTTTCTGACTGAAAGCTACTTGTCAGGCAAACAAATAACTATTTTTCCTTTTTCTTTTTTTTTTTTTTTGGTCTGTGAGTCTAGGTGTATTTACCATCTAGCTTGATCATGTTTGTGGCTGAGCATTGGTCTGCAGACCATGACAGTTTCATGGACAAACCAAGCTCTGATATGTGTCTTGGTTCCATGAACCAAAATGTTATTCCAGCCAGTGAATCTAACTCAGCAATCATGGATGTTCAGAATGCTGCTGGGCCCTCCCCAGACAAGCATATTAAATACTTGCGTAGTGTAAAGAGTATTTCTCCTCTTTTTGTGTGTTCTACCTGATTCTGTTTGCATTATCTCAGCCAGGTACTGATAATGATGAGTCAAGGCAGACCGGTTTTCCGTTCAGGCATCTACATGTCTTTCATTTCCCATTCTGCATCAACTCACAAGGTTAACAATATGAACATTTCGATCTAACTCACATGAAATTACTTCTGGAAGTAAAAGCTCAAAAATTTGCAGAGAAGTATCAAAGCTGAAATTAATTTGCAGTTGCTGAAAGCTTTTCACAGCTTCTTGTTCTAGTGAGAACACAGTTCTTGGCTTGACTGAGTTAGAATTTGAGTTGATTGTTTCTTCTTGCTGATTAATTATCATCATTATTTAGATACTTATCTTAAATTGGTGTTTATGCTGGCCGGCTCAGTTTGGGTACACATGCATTTTTGTGCTATCACAAGTCTCTGAAGTAGTAGATAGTAACTGATGTTAGCAGAAAACTTAAACTTTTGGAATTACTTTCCAGTTATTTTGTCCTATGCATCCGTTTGTGAGAATGTGACTTTTTTATGAATGAATCAAGATTCTGTATCTCTTAGTTGATGAAGACTGAGGAGTCATGTAAGCATATTTCTCCCATGTGAGGTTTTTTCAAACTAAAACAACAGAATTGGGGGTACTGTCATTTTTAAACAATCTATTCATGTCTTCTATTTTCTGGAAGATCAGTTTGAGAAAAGACTTAAAATACTGTGTTCCATGATGTCACTTCATTCATGCCATTTGTATCTTTCTTTCTCTTTCTCATTCTCTTTCATGATTTCTGCCAGGCTTTCCTACTTTAACTCTCACCTAAGTGAGAGGTCATTGTTTGTGTAAGTACTGCAAAACAGCATTCATACCAACATATGAATGTTGTAGACATTTTGTGTTCTATTTATAATCCTCTACTCTTTACCCGTAGTATTAAGAACCATCCAAAGATTATGAGAGACCCTTTCAAGAAGCTGTTATTTTTAATTATTTTTCCTCTCTCATAGTTTGTAGTTAATAGATATATCATTAGTGTTACCAATTAATGGGTTTGTTAAAACTATAAAGTCATGTTGTATCAATGTATTTGATGTTGTTATTCAAAGAGTCTAGCTATTGAAATTGGATATTATATAGATGATTCTATAGGCAGATGACAGCCAAAGCACCAGTGGTGTAAACTCACTATGCTTAGAGTTGGTAAATCCACTGCAGAAGTGCTTGGTACAAAGGATGTGAGGTGTGTGGCTGCTTTCCCAGCTCAGTAGGACAGCCACCTCCTCAGGCATGGCTCGTAGTGAGGGAGTGCTCTTGTTTCTCTTCTAGCGTTTGGTGGAAAGCTGAAAAGTCCCTTGCGTGTTGTTTTGGTCGCGACACATGCTGACATAGTGAATCTTCCTCGGCCTGTTGGAGAGTTTTGGTATGACAAAGACGTGTCATTGTTGAAAGAAATTAGGAACAGGTAAGAGTATAGGGGAGTGTCAGCTGGAAAACAAAAAACCTAAAATGCGTAAGAAGATGTAAAAGGGGTTTATGTGGCTTGAGCTTTGCGATGTTATGATATTTTGAGAGTGCTCAGGAAGCTTATATTGTGCAAAAATTGAAACATTACAATATTACAGTGAGTGAGCTGCCCACAGAGTTTATCAAGGGCTGGACATTGTGGAGTCACACAGGGGACAAGATCATCCAAGAAGTAGGAAGCAGCTAGCCCCCTTCAGCAAATGTGTGGAGAGTGTGCTAATTGTAGATGGAAATAGGGATATTTTTACAAACATGCCATTGTATAAAAGAACAATAATTCATATTCACAAGTGCGTAAGTGGATAACACATGGTATGAGGAACCTTTCCTACCTGTGAGCATAGACACTTGTCTGGACTATACAAGGCAGATGTGGGAATACAACCACAGTAGTCTCAGGAGAGAATCTTAAAACAGCTGAAGTAAACCAACAGAAAATACCTGTGCCTAATCTTTGGTGGTGGAATCCTTTTAAGTGCAAATCAGTGCAGAGCTAGGAAAACAAGTCTGTGCACATGACAAGTCAGAAGGAAATGAGAGAGCAAGCTGGTGTCAATAGCAACTGACAAATGAACTATTTCAGGTGAGAGGAAAGAAAACAACAAATACGAAGACCTTAAATAAAAATAACTCCTGCTCTCCCTTCTCTAGTAAGATGTTTGATTTTGTAATTACAAGTCCTGTGATGCATCTGTAATTTTCTTGCACATCTTCAGCCTTCTTCCTTAGGAAACACAACAATTTTCACTCAGTATCTCTGTTTATTTTCAAGGAAAAGTAAATACTTTCTCTGCTTTTGAAATATCATAATCACTACTTAAACTTACTCATCATTCCTTGAAGAAAACTAACTCTTATATAACTTAATACTGAAGTACAACTCAATTAAGAAATAAAACTGGATTTGGGACTAAGTGAGCAAGCGTTTATCTGTTCTCCTTTAGATTTGGAAATGATCTGCAAATTTCAGACAAGTTATTTGTCTTGGATGCTGGAGCATCTGGGTCTAAAGATATGAAGCTTCTCCGAAATCACTTGCAAGAAATAAGAAGCCAAATAATTTCTGTAAGTAATGATCTGGATTGGGACAGCCAAAGTATGAAAATCTTGTGTAATAATTTACTGTAAACTTAGTCCTTACTTTATGAAATTTAAAGAAACTAGAGTTGTTTCAGTTTTTTTAGCTGTATGTATGACAGACCTGGTGATAAACAAACTCCTGACATCAAAGATTTTCAAAATTGTATAGTTTTCATACAGCTCACCAAAATCATCTCTCTTGAAAGGAAAGATTGAGATTTTCAGTTCATAATTACAGCTTACTATTTTGAATTGACGGTGATAGGATTCCAGTGTTGGTCATTGTTTTTAATCTTTTCTTCTTTTTTTTTCTTCTTAGCATAGCAGTGCAGAGAAACAGAATATATTTCAGGGGAATAAGTTTTTAGTAAAAAACCCAGCCAGAGTAGAACAGTTTCCTCAACTGTTAGAAAGGTATTTCCCAGTATAGAGGTGTGAACTGAATCTGTGTTCATTTTTTGCTAGATTTTTTAATGAAAAATATGTGCTTGGAGCAGTATATGTATATGTAGGTATATGTGTATGAGACTACATGCAAAATAGCCATGGTTTGCTGTTGTCACTATGAGTCTGCAGAAACTTCAATACTGAGGGTGACCAAGTCAAGTTGTTAATGTAGCCTGTGCTAAGGATTTAAATTTCTTCACACCTAGGGCCTTCTTACTTGTGCAACACACAAGACTTTTCTGCAGCTACATCTGATAGGTATTTTTTGAAAAACAAATTAAAAATGAGTGTATACTGAGTTCATTCTGTAGACAAAGGAGAATGTTTGGATTTATGCAAAGTTCAACCAACTTTACATTCCCAATGGCCCCTTGATTTAATAAGCTTTTCTTCTTATCTCATACTCTGCTGTCTCACCTGTTGAAGTAAATTGGTCCTGTAGAGACATTGATGAGTACAGATTTTAATTAAATGTTGACAATTTCTGAAATAAAGATTAGCTTCTAAGTGCACGAAGGTAATTGATACATTTTGAAGTCACTGTCTCAGGTGGTCAGCACATTTGACAAGGCAGGACTATATGGATAAACCAAACTTTGTTCCATGTGTTAGGGTTCCCTTTGTAGTCTTGATGATGTTTGGAAAGCTTGCATATTTGAGTGAAAAAGTTGTTTCTGGAATTCACTTTATTAAGAAAAGACAGATCTAATGGCAAGCTAATGCTAAATGGAAGCAAAAAGGTCCATCACAAAGAGAACCCTTTAGACACGAATATCTATCGTGAATGCATCAGACCTCATGACCTCATTAAAAAATACTACACAATAGTACTGTTATTCTCAGCAAAGTAGAATTACAAATGGATGTTTTCTGTGTTTGTGTAAGACTTGCCCACCTATGACTCATCTGTGTGAAAAAATAATCTCCACGCTGCCTTCATGGAGAAAAATGAATGGACCCAACCAGCTGATGTCCTTGCAGCAGTTTGTATATGATGTGCAGGAACAGCTCAATCCCCTAGCAAGTGAAGATGACCTCCGGCACATTGCACAGCAGTTGCATAGCATAGGAGAGGTAGGTGTTTCTATCTAAGTTGCATCTCTATTAGCAAGGTAGTCCCCTGGTAGCATATTGACTAATGAGATTTAAGCAAATACCTGTAGTTGTGGGGTTTTTTTCTCCTTCCTCTTAAGACATGCTAAGAAGTAGAGGCTGGTTAATAATGGTTTTTACTATTGATATTGTCATGACGCTCCTATGTTATTCAACATTATTTCTTTGAGACAGGGAGAATTGCAGTTTACTGCTATAGTTGTAAGAATATAAAATACCCCAAAAGGCTAAGTATGCTATCATCTTAAATGAGGTAGTGCCTAATATGTTCACTGTAGATGAGAAATTTACGTGTGTCCATTAGAAGTTGAATCATAGGGTAACACCTTTGCTTGAATAGCTTGTAGGAAACAACTAGACTTCACAGCTTTTGGTCTCTGGTGGCTTCATTACTAGTGGAAAACAAGAACAAGATCTACTCTTTGTTCTGAATACTTGAAATAAGTGAAAACGCACTGTTTTTTTTTTCTCCAGTCAGCAGTGTTAATTAAGTGATTGATTCAGTGAGTTGGGAAGGAGAGAACATGGAGTTATAGTCTTGTACTTCACAAGATGTAAATAGTAACTTTCTTATTTATAAACAGATTAACATTATGCAGAGCGAAACTGTCCAAGATGTTGTGCTTCTGGATCCTCGCTGGCTCTGTTCAAATGTCCTTGGAAAAATCCTGTCAGTGGAGAACCCAAAAGCCCTCCATCACTATAGAGGTCGGTACACTATAGAGGACATCCAGCGTCTGGTGACAGATAGTGATGTGGAAGAACTGATACAGATTCTGGATGCCATGGATATTTGTGCAAGGGACCTGAGCAGCGGAGCAATGGTGGATATACCTGCTCTCATAAAGACTGACAATCTCCACAGGTCTTGGACAGATGAGGAGGATGAGGTGCTGATTTATGGTGGTGTTAGAATTGTTCCTGTGGAACATCTTACCCCATTTCCTTGTGGAATTTTTCATAAAGTTCAGGTGAATCTCTGCAGGTGGATTCATCAGCAAAGCACAGAGGGAGATGCTGATATACGTCTGTGGGTAAACGGATCAAAGATTATGAATCGTGGAGCTGAGCTTTTAGTGCTGCTGGTCAACCATGGTCAGGGTATAGAGGTTCAAGTTAGAGGACTGGAAACAGAGAAGATCAAGTGCTGTTTACTCCTGGATTCTGTATGCAGCACCATTGACAACTTAATGGCCACAACCTTACCAGGCCTTCTGACTGGGAAATACTACCTTAGTCCTCAGCAGCTGAGGGAACATCATGAGCCGGTAATGGTCTACCAGCCTAGAGACTTTTTCCGTGCACAGAGTCAAAAAGAGACATCACTAACTAACACTATGGGGGGATATAAAGAGAGCTTTAGCAGCATACTGTGTTTTGGGTGTCTTGATGTCTACGCACAGGGAAGCCTAGGAATGGATATTCATGTTTCTGATCTGAATCTCCTTACCAGGAGAAAACTAAGCCGGCTTTTGGATCCACCTGATCCTATGGGCAAAGATTGGTGCCTTCTGGCCATGAACCTGGGCCTCCCTGATCTTGTTGCAAAGTACAACACAAATAATGGAACACAAAATGATTTTGTCTCAAGCCCAGTCCATGCCCTTCTGCAGGAGTGGAGTAACGCTCCTGAGAGCACTGTGGGTATCTTAATGTCTAAGCTGAGGGAATTAGGTCGCCGAGATGCAGCAGACTTTCTACTGAAGGCTTCTTCTGTATTCAAAATAAATTTAGATGCTAATGGCCAAGAGGCTTATGCTTCCAGTTGCAACAGTGGCACATCTTACAACTCAATTAGCTCTGTAGTGTCACGGTAAGAGCAGATGTTCCACTTGGACATATTTTCAGATTGCAGAAAGGATAAAAGATACAGTACAAGAGTTTCTGTGCATTTTCATTTATGAGGTTTTACATCAAAGGATCTTTATCCTTCACTGGCACCATCTTTTTGTGCATTAACTTTCTACTTCTAGGTGTGAATTGTTATAAAATCATAGAATTATTTGAGCTGGAAGGAACCTCATGGGCAGAGACATCTCCCACTACTAGATCAGGTTGCTCAAGGCTCCATCCAACCGGCGTTGTTACTCATTATCTATTAAAAAGGCTGGCGTACCTCTGGTTTTTTAAAATTATTCTGGATACATAATGTGCTGCTTAATACTGCCATTTTAACTGGAAAGTCTTAACTTCAGGATTATGTACTGCAACTGTTTTATAAAATATTTTGATTCTCCCCATAAAAGACAGGGGGAGAGGAATAGCACATATTACCTGAAATGTGTCTTTCTTACACCCACTTTTTTTCTTTTCATCATGTCTTCTGCTTAATGTATTTTTTTTTTATATTTGTAAGAAGAGAAATCCACCATTTGCGGTCACTCTAACTGAATTTAAAACAACGTTGTTTATAGCTGAAAAAGCGAGTGCCTTTTGCAGAAGGGAGGGTGCAGTTGATTTGAATGACCCTGCTGGAGTTACAAGAACATGCTACCTCTGTTTCATTTAAATTGTCTGCATGCTTATCAGTGAAAGTGGTGCTTGCCTTTTAATTTTTCCTGCACTTCTAAGACATTGGTGATGACTCACGCCGAGCATTCTTGTGCCAGTACTATGGGTATGGACATGTGATACCTAATCAACTTCAATTACAGTCACATCATAATGTGAAAATCTCTTTAACTTGCCAATTATCATGCTTCATTATTTCCATGCACCTCAGGTAAAAGTTCATATCATTATAGAGCTCAAAAAACACAAGTGTTGGAGACTGCAGAATAATATTGTATAGCTGTCAGTTGTAATTTGTGCATAACAAAGGTTTTCTACTATTAGGATCTGCATTACTTACTTCCTGTACTTGAAAATTTTGATGGGGATAAAAACAAAAAAGGAAGCAAGGTTTCTTGCAGTGATAACTTTAAAATTGATATGAGGGAATATGACCCCTTCTCTGTTCTAAAAAGCATGTAATTTTGATGGTGCGATGTGTGTTTGTTTATATATATTGTATGTATATATATTAATACTATTTTTTTCCTTAATCTTACAATGTAGTAAAATTTAAAAGGATTTTTTTACAAATAAACTGTTGCTTGTTGCATTCTTGTCATTCGTATTCTGTAGCTGAAAGGGACTGGAACTTCTCTTTTCCGTACAGTTGCAATCCTGGAGAGGCAATGCCTGGCTTCTGAAGTCTTGAGAACCTCCTGGATTTTTCAGGGGGATTTCTCGGCACACTGGAGGAATATTTATTTATTTGCTTACCACAGAGGTGGTCCTGCTGCAGCACAGGGATTTCCATTCATTCTGACAAATGGCAAGCCAAAGCGGTTTGCTGCATAGCTTTTCCTTTGTGTTCCTTTACAATGGAAACCAAAACAGCAGATGGGAATCTGTCATCAGGAATCCTCCAGATTACACTGTGTCGCAAAGGGAGAGAGCACTCTGCTAAAGCCTGTGCTGCGGTAACGGTCCGTTACATTGAGGATCCCCACATCACAGAAGGGACTCTGATGATGATCTAAATTCTCAACATCGCTCACTGATTGCTGCACACGCTCTGTACAGCAGCTCTGCACAATACCTCCTCCCTGCCTGTGCTGCAAAGGAGTTGAAAGGACTCTTGAAATAGTAGTTGCCATTTCCCACTGCCTTTCTTTGCATATTTTACCCCTGCTGTACTGAATCCTTACCGGGGCACCACTGGGCTCCTATATTAAACATTTTTAAAAGTCTAGTCCTCAGTGAGCAATATGGTTAACAACACGTCCTAGCCTCAAGGGTCTCTGCTCTGCTCTTCTGCCTCTGACAAAATGTGTTCAGCATCTCCCACCACTGCTCAAGGTTGCTCAGCAAAGAGCCCAGCTTTCTGCAGCCCATATCTGCCTCTGTTACTTCATGGCCACCACCACCCTTCACCTTGCAGCCATGGACACATGCAGCACTTCTGCCAGGTTCTGCTGTGTGGAGGGGTCTTTCCCATCTCACAAGACTTGCTGCGTTTCTCACTGGTTAGGACTGTTCGTCAGGCATCAAACTTGGAGTTACCTTCGATGGGTCTGTGTGACTGCAGACGAGTAGGACTTGGTATCACAAGGCCCATGAGAGCAAAGGCTACTGTGAGATGCTTTTCCAATTCCAGGCTGTCACTGGTGCCTGGGATTTAATTCACCACTGTACTGCTGTGGTGAGGTGGCGAGGTTTTGAGATAGCAAGTAGCTCCTCCCCTGCCTGCCTCCACAGATGCTTTCTGCGCATTTGAGACGCACGGTTGACTTCGCAGCATTGATGCAGCAGTCTTTTTTTTTTTTTTCTTCTCCTAACGCCATGTTCCTGACAATTGTCTGCTTCCATTTACTGTAAAATGCAGCCCTAGGAGTATATATTACGCAGCGGATGCTATGATGGATCTTTGAATGGTAGTCACAGCCTATTGCATCATTTATGGTTTTCATGGTAATAGGTTCAGGAAAGTGAATCACAGGCATAGCATAGCTTTGGATTGCTTTCCTCTAAATCATGTGCCACTGGCAAAAAAAGATGGATAAGTCATTGTTGTCCTAAATGACAATTTTGACAAAAAAAGGCTGACAAAGTCATAGAAGTGGGCATTTCTCCAGTTGCTTCACTTCTATTGATTTCCTGTTTTGTTGTCAATGCAGCTAGGAGCAGATCTTCATTCCCCAGTTTTTAGAATGGTGTTTAACAGACACTGATCCTGCCTGACTCATTCCAGAAATGGAGGAAATACAGGTCTTTGCAAGATAAAAAAGGTGTAAAAGGTAAATCTGTGTGTAGTTTGTGCAAGGAACATGCTAAGCTCAGATGCTGACAATGAGTTACAGCCAAGCCAGTCAGACTTTGCAAGGTAGGAGTGTTTGGGTCTCCAAAGGTCAGATGAGCATTCAGACAAGGACTGATGGTATTCCTCTGTGCAGCTACACCTTCTGTCCTAACAAGCTTTACAGGAACAGTGGGGCCACAGCTAATGCTGCCTCAAAGCCAGATGAGTTTCTCATTGTACTTGGTTCAGGATTGCATTAACCAAATTGACCCAGCATTTCTGAACCAGCCAGACTATCCTGGGTGAGGTCCAAACCCAAGCCATGCATATTAAAAAATCATTCAGACTCATCATGTTGCTGAGTCACTTGGATGTACCTTAAAAATCTCAGCCCTGCCCTGAGACAAGCAAACCTGGACTGTCTTGCCCAGACTCTTAGGTCCTGCTGTCACTATGCCTAAGACTACTTAGACAGCTAATAGGCGCTCACATCTGCTAGGCAGAGAGGAATATTAGGAAGGATCCTGTGCAGAGTGATAAGGGGGTCTTCAACTAGGAGTAAATGCTTAGGCATGCTGCATCTTATTCAGATGGGTTTGCTGGCAAGGAGATGTTGACAGCCTGGGCACATTCTTCCTCCTGCTGGAAACGTCATAGCACCAGCCTGTAGAAGTCCAGGCACTCCTAGCAGCTCTGTGTCCAGGTTCAGGAAGATGTGCTCTCTTTTTTCTGCACAGGATCCGAAGAGTGCAGCTCGCTGAGGCATCTTCCCTGGTGAACTCAGGCACTGTCGCGGCTCGGTGTAACCAACCTCGAGAAGCTTCTGGCCGAATGTGTTGGGAGTAGGGTCATGATGCTTCTGCTGCGTCGGTGGGGAGGGGGGGTTGGCCAGCAAAAGTGGTGGAATTTGCATGAGTGAGTAAGGTCTGAGTGAGAAACCAGCATGTGGTGCACAGGGAGAGGAGGATAAAGTCGTGCGATTCAGCTACTATTGGGGAAGCATGGGGGAGAAGGGAGGGCTTGTGCATTAGTTGGTGTTAGACTGCTGATGCTGTTAAAAGATCGCGCGCGTTTAATTCTTTGAGTCACTGTGTGCTTCACTTTCTGAGCTGCTCATTGCATTGCAAAATATTGCTATTTTAGCCTAGCTACAGGGAAATATACTTTAATCATTATAGTTTATTTCCACCTAGAGATGAATCGGCCTCACTTGCAAACCCTCTACACAGGACTGCTTACAAGCCAAGATGTAAAAAACTTATGTAGCAGAGCGAATCAGCTAAGCAAAGGGAATGCAGAAAGAAGAGTCATCGGCTGGGAACACCTGGTTAACATCAGTGAATCCTGCTACAACTAAATTTACCTACAAACACTACAACTTTGCAGCATTGGCATCTTTCTTTAGTTCTTATGGGTTGCACATGTGAAGAAAAAAAAAAGTACTCTGCAGAACGCAATTAACTACTGCTAAGCCAAAGCTTTTATTACTGTGGAAGAGAGAGGGTACAGGTCTTTTTGTGCTGAAGACAATGCGTCAGTGCATGTGGAAGCCAGTGCCAAACGCAGATGAGTTGCAGGACAGAAGCAGATCCTACCTTCCTAAGCCTATAATGTGCATTATTTCATCATTCCCAACGTACATATCTGCAGAAGAAGCAGGAAAGCGATTATTTTGGAAACATTTCCAAGCATTTGATAGCTACAATTAGATTCTTTGATTTCATTATGGAGTTAAACCACCATCCTCTACAACAAGAACACTTTGAATCAAAATTTTCTGCAGACCCCTGGGGATTGTGTTGGCAGCTGGAGAATGTTGTGGCAATTAGCCTGGAAATTGTGGAAGAGGGTGAATCACCATAAACAAATCAGCATCAGATAGGATGGGCTGAATTTCCTTGGTTGCTTACAGTCAGAAGGAAGTATTGCTTGCAGCTGTTAGACCTGGCAGTTAAGTGCTAGTGAAGTTTTCAGAGGAGGCTGGAGGCAGTGACCAGCAGTATCAGGTCTGCTTATAGAGGTTCAGAAGGG